GCCCGGTGAGGTGGGGGCTGCGGCTGAAGGTCTGGGGGGTGGCAGAAAGCGGCAGGGTGGAGGGACCTGGGCGGTAGTGCGGCAGGTGGAGGGCCACGGCCCTCAGGTGGGCAGCGTGCCCCAAGGGCTGCACCAGCCCGGCGGGGCAGGGGGACCTCTGCTCACTGGTTTTATCCAGAATAAAAGTGCGCAGCTGGAAACAAGGGTGTACGTCCACGTGGGCACACAATGTTACATGCGCATGTAAAAGCCCGAGCTGCCATGCTGTGCTCTGCTGGGAAAAGGACAAGGGACCCCTCTGTCCTCGTCCTGCTTCTCTTTTGTGCGGGCCGCGACTGCCAGATGGAGCAAGCCCTGCTGACAAGGCAGGCAGGCAAAAGGCAACGTTGTGAGTCCCAACAGGCTTAAGGATAAATGACGCACCTGCTGCTCAGGTGGCCCTGCAAACTCCCAGGCACAGACATTTAACCTTGCGGGAGGACATTCCAGTTCCTCCTGGGCTAAGCGGGGACTTCTGGCAGTCTGCGTTTCCAAAGCAGACACTTAAAACTGCTGTTTCCCCTCTAAACTCTTGTATGGTGATAGTTTAACTGAAATCAGTGGGAGTTCAAAAAATAGATACGGCAGCGGTGTTCTTTAATCAGCAGAGCCCTTGTGCAAATTCTGCCGTGCCTGCATTCCCTCCTTGAATGCCTTGTCCCTGACCATCACGGTGACGTATCATTGTAACGGCTGATGTTCACAAATGTGCTGAAGTTACGTATTAAATAAAAATCACTCTGGACCATCCTCAATATTTTATTAACTTAATTGTTCCAATAAATATGTACCAATAAACATAAAACACTCAGTAAAATCTAAATAAGGACATTTACAAACCTATCAACAAAGTAAAAACAACATTTTTTCAACTGAGATACACGCAGGGTCATTTAAGGCAAATTCAGTCAATTATACTTTTATAACGATTCCTGCCCACCTCAGCTGAGTTTACCTTTAAAAATTAAAAAAAACCCCAAATATACAAATGATGCTATTGAGTAGCTATTTTCCAGTTATTAGAACAAGCCCAGAGTGCGGAAGCCCGTAATGGTGCTGGACAGAAAGTCCGTGCCTCCCCAGTGCTCCTGCCCTCCTCAGTCAGGATCACCCGTTGGATGGGTTTCTAGTTATAAGGCATAATTCTGTGCTTTGGCTTTTCCACTTGTGTTTCACAAGCTTCCTTCTCCCTAGTGGATGCAGCAAGCAGGAACCCCCCATGCCTCAAACACACATGCACGCAGCCAGGCCTTGCACAGCCAGCGAGCTCGGGGAGGATGAAAAAGGCCTCTCTATAACTGTTAATGCAGCTCCCAGTTTGCACCAGAACAAGTGAGAGCAGGGTCAGACCCAAGCTGGTACCTTTGCTTAAAAAACAGCAAGATGTCAAACTGCACGGTTCTGTCCTGATCCTCCAGGTTTTCCTGACAGGAAACCAAGCGTGAAGCCACTCAGCATCGAAACTCAACCAGGGCAAGTGCTCCCTACCCCACATGCTGATGGCTCTCTGTGATTACCATGTAAACACTGCTACACCCATGTTCCCCTGCAAGGTGATTCAAGCTGCTGAAAATTCCGGGGGGTTCATCTTGGCCAGGGGAGAAATATTTTCCAGTTTACAGACATTTGGTAGCTTATCCGTCTTTGGAGTATCAGGCTTCATATCTAAAAGGCTTATTTTCCAGTGTTATTTCAGAAACGGAGAGGGGGAGAGAAAGAGAGAAACCCCAGCCTTAAATTTCCCCTTTCACAGTCATTCAGGTTGAGCTGTCAATGCGTGGCCCTGTCCTCTTCTTTCCTCTCCGAGCTCCTGGTCAGAAAGGTAATGCCAGGGTCTGTGCTCAGGACAGGGCTCGGGTCCAGCAGGGAAACCAAGGGAGTCTGTTCTCATAGTGTTGTAGTTGCTTTCTGCATTGCAGCTGGGACTCACTTCAGGCCATGCTGTGTCTCCCGGTGTCTCCGTAAATCCACCTTTCGTTGGAAGCCTTTGCCACACAGATCACAGCCAAAGGGCTTGAAGCCTGTGTGCTTACGACTGTGGGTGATAAGGTTGGAGCTCTGACTAAAGGCTTTTCCACACACCTGGCACTTGTGAGGCTTCTCACCTGCAAGCAGAAGGCGGGGGGGGGGGCAGTGGGGGGGGGGGGGTCACAGAGGGTGTGAAAGAGGCAACGTGCTGCTTACGCAGGACCAGAGCAAACAGGAAATGCACACTGGGCCTTAGAGCTAATCAAAGTGATTCCTGTGTGATTACCAAAGCAGCCATTCTTACAAAAAACATGCAATGGGGAGCCTCAAAAGCATTAGCTGAGCCTGCACTGCAGCTGAGCAGGCCTGGGCTTGGCTGCACCTCCATCAGCCCAATGTAGTCATGGGAGCAGCCTGAAGCACAGACTGCTCCCAGGACACCGTGACTTGTGAGTACGTTTGGCTGCATGGGCCCCGTGCAATTCAAACTGGCTTTGAGTCCTAGAAACATCAGGAACTCCTGGAAAGACCCTCAGGTCGTGCTGAATGCCTGACATCAGTTATTCTAGCATCAGCACGGGGGGAGGTGGGATAGATAGGTGGAGGTTGTTCAAGTAAACCCCGTGAGCTGGGGTCTGTTCCCAAGGGAGGCATGAAGGCCATTCAGCGAACCCTGAAGGTCAGGGTTCATCCAGAGATCTGCTCTTCTCTCCGTTCCCCATACTGAAATGCTAGCAGTCATCCCGAGCCAGCCCTGAAGTTCTCCTCCAGGCAAACAACGTAAATGGGAATAAATCCAGCCTCCGGAACTTCTCCTACAGAGGGTTCAGTGGCAAAACTCCACCAGCTTTCATGGGAGCAGGATCTCAGTGCATTTTTTGTAGTGTTTATTATCAAATAACGGATAAAAGAGAACCCAACCACAAAACCCAGCCTGATGTTCGGAGTGGCTTTGCACCTGCAGAGCCCACTGACTTCAGCTGGAGCAACAAACTCTTTGCACGTTTGAAGATCACATTCTTGGAAACGTAACACAAAATGTGCTGGAGGCTCAGTTCACAAGTGTATGCTGCATACGAAAGGGATCCCTGATTCAGTTAAGGACCTGGTTTTAAATTAGCAATTTAAAAGCCCAGGCATATTTTCTGATCTCACAATAAAATAATGGTTTTGACTGATTCATAATTTGGCTGAGATTCTACTTAATCAAGCCTCATTTGAAAAAGTTATTATGGAAATACTTTTTTCTGTTACTTCCTAAATAATTCATTTTCATCCAGCAAACATCTGGTGGAAAATCTTTGTAAGTGACATTTATTGTTCACTGTTGGTCATCTAGAAAAGTCATAACCAAGCAGTGCTACACCTAACGCCGTCTTTCTACACATTTGCCATTTTTAGACTTCACCCTTGATATCTGCTAGTGGTCACTATCAGGAAATGGGACTTTGGTCATCTGAACCCTGGGTTTGGCCAGTACAGCTGTTATTTTGTATCTACAAATGCTGCTGTATCTCACACATCATTCATTTCCCTCTAATTTAAGTGAATGGTGCAGGTCCGAAAGCCAAGATTTGCTTTTAAAGATTTCTGATAAATATGCCTTCTCACTGAATGATATTTTTAAACAATTTCCTTCGGTGATTCACCTGCACTTTATTAGTTTCCATGTTTATTACTAACAGTGAAACTTGAGAACTCTGCACCTCTCCTTCCATTCTGTACCAAACTGCAGCCACTTCTCAGAAAGTCCGGGTGGAAGTGCAGAGAATCTCTGAACAAATATTTAGACTAAGAGTTGGACCCTAGGCCCTCCAGTTTAGTGTTTGATCTAGAGGAGGAGACTCCTGTTGTTCCTATTGTAAATTGGTAGATCCTGCAACAAGAAATGCTGCAATCAAATTCCCCCGTCATTTTCCAGGGACCTCAGCCGTAAATCAAGGCTACACGAATATAATACTCTAGAAATCATCTTACACAAAAGGCCTTTGAATAAACACTGGTGGATCCTATTAAGGGAATACTGATTGGATTGTGAGGATTTGGGTTATTTTGCAGCTGCTGCTCATGAAACCACACTCAAATCACCCTCCTTTACACGAGCAGAGCTCAGATAGCACAACCAGCAGCAGGGCAGCAAGAGGCACCGGGAGGTGCATGTACTGTCCCAGCTGAGGAGGAATGGACTGCTGCAGTGAGACCTCTGCAGCGACCCACCCCCACAGCTGGGGCTGAGCACCAGTAGCTGCAAAGCTGACCTGTGTGAATGAAGGTGTGCTTCTTCATATCAGATTTCTGGTGGAACCGCTTCCCACAGTACTGGCACGGATAGGGCCGGGTGTCCGAGTGGATGAGCAGGTGGGTTGACAAAGTAGAAGATCTCTTAAAACTCTTGCCACAAATCTTACAATCAAAGCTGCGTTCCTGCAGAGAGAGGAGCCCAAACACATGCACGTTACACCACACCAATGATCCCACCAGCAACAAGCTGCCCGGCAGCACATCAGTGTTTCCCCTTCTGCCTTAGCAAGCAATTCCACTTCTCCAGAGAGCCTGACTGGCCTGCAGGGACGCTAACACTGGCATGACAGCACCACATGACAAAAAAGAGAATGCACCCGCTCCCCGTGCACAAAAATTTAACTGTTCTTCCTGCTGGCAGGAATGGCCAGGTGGGAGCAGCCCTGACCTATGGGGTGAGTCCACCTGCAGATTTCAACAGGGGCCCAAGACATGATCACTCCACTGGGAAGCCCAGCAGCTGCACTGCTGTTCAGAGGCCACCTCTCCTCTGTACACGGGAAAGTGGGTGCTGAGGTCTGCTTGGCTCTCCTGGGAAATCTCTGTGGCAGGCTGACTTCTGCTGGCAGGGCAACAACTAACTGCTTATTTGTAGTTCCATTAAAACTCAACTGAAGGGTACCTAGAGCACCTGGGGAAAACAGCTTTTTGGCTTATTACTTTGACAAATTAAATGCATTAAGATCTTGCTGTCTCTCTCCTCTCCCTCACACACTCCTCTCCACAACTTTCTTCCACCGTAAATCACCCCTTCTTACCATCCCTTAACTACCATCACACCTTCCTATTGCTGCTATGCTTTTCATACAATCACGTTAGTTTATTTAGCTTTTAATGCACTCTCCCTGAAATGTTGTCCGTGGACACAACATGTAGTGCTGCTCTTTTCACCATTATTTAATAGGTGATATTTCCCCTCATTGTGTGCTCTGCTGTTGCACACTCATGAAATTGTGTATAAAACAGCAAAAAACCATTGCTGTAACTCTATCCTCCAAAAGCCAATCTGAAGAAGGAAGATTTGCCAGGTCAAGTGGGTGGGTAAAGAGGAAATATGGCACAGTATCAGCAGGTGGAAAATGTTACAAGTCCTCCTACCAAAATTAACTACCATATTCTTTTGGTGTGTGACTCAGAGTGTGTCGACACGGGTGAAGTCTGTGCTCTATACCTGACTGGTCGTTCAGATGTTCCCTGCACAGACACAATGACTACAAACAAGGGAAGACTCACTTCTTTGGGGGAGGGGAGGAGAAAGAATGAGGAGAGCTGCATCAAACAAAAGCACAGTGAGTTGCTTTAGCTGTTAAAAAAAGTCCACATCCGCGTTACAATTTCCAGCTCTGAGAGTGAAAATTTATTATTTATTATCTGTTACTTCTGGAGTGCCAAAAGTGCCCACTGCTTCATACAGATGCACGCAAGGTCTGGGGAATGGAAACAATGTCCATGTTCTTTAATTTGTTGATCTGCTCCTTCGCTCACTAGCTGCCCACCCTTTCCTCTGCCTGCCACCATATTCTTTCACCCACAACTGCCCACTGCAGGCCCACCATGTTCTCTTCCTCTCCTCAGTTTAGATGCCCATCTACAGCTCTGTGATTGCGTCCATGGCCTCCCAAGAGCCAACTGAAGCAAGCAGCTGGCCCTGGCCTTCGGACCTTCATCCTGGCAGTCCGCCCTGCTCTCACCTGTGAGTGCACGGCCTTGTGCTGCTCCAGGCTGACTGCATGGCCGAAGGTCTTGCCACACATGTCACAGGCAAAGGGCCTCGTGCCACTGTGTGAGCGGCGCACATGCACCTCAAGGCCATGCGGCGTGGAGAAGACCTGAGGGAAGAGAGCACACAGGGTCAGGCTTACTAGGGAGAAGGGGCTGTGAAAGAGTCATAACCAGTATGGGAGAGAAGGATCCTACCTTGCTGCACTTGACACACTTGTAAGAGCCAGTGCTGATGAGCAGTGGGCGGCACAAGAGGTCTGACTCCACTTTGATGCCACCTGGCCCCTTCTCTTGCTGCAGCCCAGGCTGTGTCTCAGCATAGAGTCCAGGTGCTGCTGCCGGCGGCCGCTCAATCAGCCCCGGGCCTGGGGAGACGAAGTCACCATAAAGTCCGAAGGAAGAGCTACACTCTGCACCGTAGAGGGCAGGCTCAGAGCCTCGGTCACAGAAGAGCCCCAGGGCTGAGGTTCGCTCCAGCATCGGGCAGGGCCTGTAGCTTTGCACAAGGTGCCTCAGCTCGGAGCCACCCAGGCTGTTCCACATGTACGGTTTGAACGGCACTGAGAAGGGAGGTGCTTCATCTAGGGATGGACACACAGATCGCTCTGAGGCTGCGGAAACACAAGGGCATGGGAATTAGTGTGCTTCACAATCCAGCCACTATCATTGGGCAGAGCCATCTCAGCCCTCAGACTTGTGCCCAGAGCCAGACCCCTGTACTGCACATTAAGGCTGCCCTTTCATCTCTAATGGGAGGACATTTTATATTGCACAGTAGGGTCTGTGCTACCCTACTCACCTGCTGTCCCAGCCAAATCATTTAAAGCAGCCACCAATTTTGTCTGCCTCCATCTCTGGGTGCCCAGGTGTGCACACAATGGTCTGACTGTTGAGACACTAAACAACTCAGTCTGCAACTTCCTTTGGTTTTATTTGCAGCTCCTCAGAAAAGTATATCTACTGTGTCCCGAGGTGAGCATCAAAGATGACAGTCCACATGTTTAAGCTCTCATGTAGATCCCACACGTCCGTATAGCAAATATGACATTACGGAGACAACAGAAGGAGCAAGCGTGCCAAGATTTACCTGTTCAACAAAACTAAAAACCGCTTGTTGCACAATTTAATGACCAAGTCTGGTCTCTCAACTTCATCCCACAACTGTCCGTAACTATACTACAGCATCACTGAAACAAAGAACAGCTTCTGAGGTGCTTAAGTGTCATGCCTCACTTTTTCAGAAAAAAATAAACTAAAATCAGTCCTCATCTGAAATAAAATCATGGTTGTTTCAGGTTGCTCTGAGTTTCTCCAGGTGAAGAAACTGAGTCCACCCAAAACATAGAGCTTTGCAAAATCATCAGTTATAGGCCACATTAAAAACTGAAGACACTGAAAGACTTTCCTAGCAGTCATAATCAAAGCGATCTTCCACCACGACAAACTCAGATGGCTTCAGCTGGCTCTAACAGGCTCACCTTTGCGAATGGCATCTGACCAAAGCAGTGGGCACCACAAGATGAATCACACTTGGGGGGCCCATAGCAGAGTCGGATGCACTGGCAGGAACACAGCCTTTGACATCAGTGTCTAGTGGCATAAATGCTCAGGGAGCCTCACATAGAGGAAAGCACAGCTGGGCAGAGAACGAGGTACCAGACCCCAGCTGTGTCTGCCAGAGATGCTGATCAGTGCCCGGCGTGCTCTGTTCGTTCTTCATCACAACAGGCAGTAGAACTGGGAGAGTCAAATATCTCCACTGGACAAATGTTTTAGTGAACCAAGGAAAAGATGAATCAATTAATTGCTGAAGCGTCAATGCCTTCACAGACATATTGGCATCCCTTAGAACTTGGGCTTCCAGAATAACCTCCCTTACCCAAAAACTTGTCCACCCACAATTGCTCTCTTGGTTTTTCTCATCCCTGTCAGTCACAGCTTCCATGGCTTTCTCAACCTTCAGCAAACCGAGATAACCAGGGGTGGGCTAGGGAAGGAAGGCATGATGTGTTAGGCTATCCACTTGGACAGGCAGATGGTCACTGAGGGTTACAGAAGGGAGTGGGAAATGAGGTGAAAATCGAGCTTTGAATGATTCTACTGTTTCCTAGCTTTTACATAATTGCAGACGTTAACAGTCTCATATTCTTCCATTGAAATGGGCAGTCTTTTGGTTGGAAATATATGCGCACACACCAACTGGGACATTTGAACAGAGCAATGAAATCAAATTAGCTGACATGGTGCTGAGCATGATTTTTCCTGTTCTGCACTGACTGCAAAGTTGTGGTCAGCGTCACATCATCTATCTTGTGTCTTTGCAACCAGTTTCAGTGTTGCCATCTCTCACGATTTTATCGCAAGATTCAAAACTATCTTAAAGCCCCAGCTCTTGAAACTGCATGATTTCATCAGGCCCTCAGCTTTCCTTCTGTTTGCTTGTTCTTATTTTTCCTCTTAAAGTCAACTTCTAGCCCAGCCTGTAAAGGAAAACATGAAAACATAAACCCTCAATATTTCAACACTAGAACTGAATATCCATAAGGTATTACTTACAATCTTGATTTCTTAGCCAGTCTGGTGACTGAGGGGAAAAGGAAGGCTGACCTGATTTTTGAGCCCTTGGAATTGGCAACATGGGACACGGTAAACATTGCACCACAGATCAGTTTGCGTGCAGCGTTCCTTCTATCACCTCACATGCTTTGGAGACCTCTCAAGCACAAGTGCAGGGGAGCCACTCACTCTATACTTCTCAGGGGCAATCTCAAGCCATCCAAGCCCTGTACCCAGTGTCAAGGCGACCTGCAAACCCTGCTCTGCCACACTGCAAGGCACTTCTGTCTGCCTCTCCTCCGGTCCACAGCATCTAAGTCTCCAAGGGGTAAGCAGAGACAAATTCTCCCTCCTCTTCCTAGCAATTCTGTGCAGCCTTTATATAGACCACTCCTGGGATAAAAAAAAAATCAACACTCTTTTTTGAAGGCAAGCCAAACTCACCCTGATATAGTTGGAAACAGATTGATAAGCACAGCAAAGAAAGATTCAGGTGTCCTCCTCCACAGACCAAAAACACCATGCTCTCTGCACAACTTCATCATACCCATTAGAAGTCTCCCTCCAAGACTGCAGAATCAACAGGCTCATCAGGAGGTACTAATACACTGTTGCATAGAGTTATCAGGCACCTTCTGTATATGCAAACACAAGTGATTACAGACACGCGTAGAAAGTGAGGTTAAATAACAAAGTGATTTGCACTGATGGAGTCAACGACGTATTAGTGTTAACAGGTACTGTGTCTGTGCATGCCCGCCTGGATCGGCAGCACGGCGCTCCAAGACAAACCTGAAATCTGCCTTTCACTGTGTATCGATGTGCAACCTGCACTATGTTCACTTCTAAGGATAGGGGGCTGATAACGCTACGCACCGCACCTGCCCTGAGCATGATATAGAAACAGAATTTCTCACCCGCCCTGCCTGTCAAAGCACACAAACTGTGCCCCACCCAGACAAGCACAATCATAGAAATCCAGTCTCTCGCCAGTGCGTCTTGCAGCAGTGACCTAGGCACAAATTCCAGCTTCGCGCTGAATCTGACAAAGCAGCTGGAAGGCAGAGGGGCTGGGGGGGGAGCCGTGGGAGGAAGCCCGACTGTCTAATCCTGCTGCCACTGCCTTCATCATTAACGTAACAGCACCTCTCTCAATGCAAAGAGGTTCATTTAATAAAGCTCTTTCCTTACAGTACTTCGAGTCCCTTGCCTTCCCCTTCCTCCTGTGAATGGGGTCAGACAGTCCAGGACCGCCCTCCCCCACCACCTCCAAAGATCTTGATCTGGGAATGCCACCCTCAATTTTGCAAAGATACCCTCCCTGGGTAGCTGGACGGTTGGCGGGGAGCTAATGAATCCCACCGCGGGGGACGAAATGAGCAGAGAGAAGAAAAAGGCAGAGCAGCCCTGGTAAATATCTGCTCCATTTTACACCTGTCTTTCAGACACCTCGTGAAAACAGTCTGTGTCCCGTGCAGAAATTGTCATTGTTTGGGGAAGGAGGAGCAGGACAAATTCGTTACAACAAAAATGACACACATTGCTACACTTTGTGCAGAAATACTAGCAAAAGAGAGACTGCTGCACTGCTGCGTTTGGTCCGGTCTGTCATTTGCACAGACTGAAACCGTCCCGTGGCTGGCTGTGATAATACCGGGCAGGATTTTGAATGTCCTCTCAAAGGGCTTTACGACTCTTAAAAGAGGGGGAGGCTATAAAAATGCAAATCCACATCACTACAGTCGGCCGTTGATACGCAAAGACACTATAAAGATGAAGTGGGAAGATCGGTGGGGAACCGGGACTACGTATTCGTTTGCTGGCGTCTGCTGTCAGCCGGTAAAGCTGAGACAATTTTTCCTTCACTAAGGCAGAAATTGTTCTTTTTTTCCAGCTGTCACTTTTTAACCGAGGCAATAAAACCTGGTTTTTATATATACATATTTTTGTTATAAAATGACACCATCGTATTTTTAAACGAGATAAGTATTCGCGCCAGGCTGGGGACAGCATCTCCCACTGCTTCAACCACATCAAAGGCAGGACGAGGGAGCTAGAGACAGGCGCTGCAGCCATAAGTGTGAGTTTCCTGGATTTGGGGTGTTTAAATCCGACCGTCATTATTTTCATCTGTTTTTTACGAATGCGTTTTTAGAAAAGCAAGGACAAAAAACCAAAACACAAACATAAAGAGAGAAAGGGGGAGGAGAGGGAGGGATCCTTTTTATAGGCAAGAGGCAAGAAATAACCTGAAAGGGATTTAGGGAAAATGTCTAGCAGGTAGTACAAAACACAGTCAACGTTGTTTACTACAGGTGTATAGATAGCCTAGTAGAAATTTTTACCGTCTTAAAAAACATCTAAACTGCGGGTAGCAGGACCCTGTAGGAAAACGCCAGGACCTTTAAAACATAACCGGCTTGCCTCTAGCAATTAATCAGAAACCAAAAAATCAACACCCGATGCCACCAACAACTTCCCTGCAGCCTGTCATCCACTGCTCCCTCAGCAGTGGGAGACGGGCTGGAAAAGCAACACGAAAGAGAGAACCCGAAAACGAGTGGAAGGGACAGATTTGCCTGCCAGAAGGGCAAATCTGTCC